AGTAGTTACTGTAAAAATACTATAGCATGAACATTAACCACGTTTTAAGCAAAAATTTTCAGTATGTAAATGGGGTACCGATTCCCCCTACAGGGAACCGATTCCCCCGCTGTTCATCGTCATTGTTCACTGTTACTGTTCACGGATATTGTTCACTATTCATAAAAAAACTTTTAAATTAAATTTGTTATAATGAATCATAAATTATATGGAATGATATTTTTATAATATCAATTACCATTTTAAGAAAATAAATTTTAAATCATTGTTATTAATTGGATAATGGTTTTCGAAATTCGGGTGACATCCGTAATCTGTATAGGTTTAAATATACGGGTTACGGGTGTTACAATTTTAATTAGGTATTGATAATTTAATGAGTTTATTGTGGTTAAAAAAATAATTTAGTCTTAATTCTTAATGAGTTTGAGCTTAAAATATGTATTTAATATATATAATATATTTCATATTTAATAATTTCAGTTAATTTGGTTAATTAACCGATTTCGAACCGAATTAACTGTTAATCGAATATTGAAAAAAATATTAATTGTTCTCCGACTGAACTAATTCAGTGGTTGACCGAATTAACCGAACTAATTCGGTTCGGTCGGTTAATTCGGTTAAAATCGAAAAATAAACACCCCTAAAGGCAAGGGACACGGGAATTATCTACTATTTTTAACTTAGAGTTTGTTTGTTTCAAGTAAAACATTTTCCGAAAAATGTTTTCCTCATTTTCCGAAAAACGTTTTCCTCATTTTCCAATGTTTGGCTGGAATAAAACTGATTGGTCAACGTAAAACATTTTCCTGGTCAACAGAATTTCCTTTGTGTTTTCTTGAAAAATACTTACGATATGATTTTTCGTAAGTCATTATCCGAATTTTTCACTTCAAAGAATAAATACTCAAAATAATTTTATGAATTAAATATTAATAAAATTTGTTAATATCATTTTAATCAAAATATCAATTATTAAAATATTTAAAATATATTTATTAATATTTATAATAATATAATATTTTTGTAATATTATAATATAATAATTATATTATAATAATATAAAATATTATATTTTTATTTTAATAATATATAATTAATTGTTAATAAAATTTATATTATTTATTAATTTCATATGAATAATATTTTTAAATTATTAATAATGAATAATATTATTTATGTATTTAATATTAATCTAATAATCTAATAATATTTTAATAAAGATATTTGAAATATATTAATATTTCTTGTTGTGGTGGTGAATGCTAGAATCCCTGGAGTCTACTCCGGGGGTGCTTGGGAAACTGCCCATGCCACCTTCTACGGAGGCAGCGATGTTTTAGGAACAATGGGTGATTTGCTTTCTAATGTTTTGATCTCTCAACTTCAACCAAAGTTTCCTAAAACCATTAAAATTTGTTGGGTGTTTTTTAGGAGGTGCATGTGGGTATGGCAATCTCTACAGCCAAGGCTATGGCGTGAACACAGCGGCTTTAAGCACGGCACTCTTCAAAAATGGGCTTAGCTGCGGTGCTTGCTTTGAGATTAAGTGTGCAAATTACCCAAAATGGTGTCACCCTGGGAGTCCTTCCATTATGGCCACTGCTACTAACTTTTGCCCTCCTAACTATGCTCTCCCGAGTGATAATGGCGGATGATGCAACCCTCCACACCCTCACTTTGACCTCGCCATGCCTGTTTTCCTCAAGATCACTGAGTACCGTGCAGGTATCGTACCTGTCTCCTTCCGTAGGTGAGTAAGGTTTGGAATTAAAATATAGGGACTAAAGTGTAATGTTGGATACAATAAAGGGATCGAAATTACAAAATGACCTTTTTATTTCTACTGTCATTAATTGACTATTTTATTGTCGGTTTTTAAACAGAGTTCCGTGCCGAAAGCAAGGGGGATGAGATTCACCATCAACGGATTCCGTTATTTCAATCTGGTCCTGATCACCAACGTCGCGGGTGCATGGGACATATTGAAGGTGAGCGTGAAGGGGACCAGAACCGGTTGGTTGAGCATGAGCCGTAACTGGGGTCAGAACTGGCAGTCAAACGCCGCTTGGTAGGTCAGGCACTCTCGTTTAGAGTCACGGGCAGTGACAGGCAAACCTCCACCTCTCGTAACGTGGCGCCAGCTGACTGGCAGTTCGGCCAAACCTTCGCGGCCAAGAATTTCCGTGCTTGAAACTCCCAGATTGAATTAACTTGTTTGTTTACCGCCCTTCCATTTTCCCGGGAAATTTGAAGTGTTTGGTCGGTGGGTAAAATCCCAAAAATTGAGGTATTGGATTTACCGAAATGGTAAAAAGTTGCAATGGGCGGCTGCACATCAAAGTGAGCGTGTAGCCCGCACCATTTGATCATTTAGTGATTGCCTTTATATTGAATGAATCGCTTGTTCCGAACTCTGTTTTCTGTATTGAAGCTTTCAAAAGATGTATTGGCCACTCAAATTAACGATTGTAATGTAGAAGTTGTAATTTCTGACACCATTTTTATGAAGTATTGGTTTTTTAAGTAACGTTGCTATGATTTTACATATGCAGATTACATAATTTTTATACATCAATCAGGTTTTTTTTTATAGAAGCCACTAATTTTAAATAAAAAATAAAAAATATTTCAAATCAAAATAAATGTTCACAACCACAATCGAAACTACAAGGATTATACAAGAAAAAAGTTAAAAGCTTAACTAAATAAACTCTGATAAAAGATAGATACAAATATATCTGACTGCATCGATAAATGAACCACAAAAAGAGATGCCATCAACAAATCGTAAATCAGAATTGAGCGACATTAAAATACTATCCATGAACGGAATTTGTGTATCCATATCTAATCCGATATTTCAGAGCATGGAATATCAGCATGATAACAAATAAAATGTCATCTTGATCAGTCGTGGGCTCATGGTGATGTCAAATCCAACACTGAAAAAATAATAAATTAAAATAGAAATCAAACGACCGAAAACGTATCATAAAGGCAGAGAAAAATGTATCATAAATGTAGAATTATTAAAAATAGAAAACAAGAGAGAGAAAAATAAAGGTATCATATAATAAAGCAAAAGAAAAATAATGAATACAAACAGTTCCTCGGTACACGTTAGCTGGATTAATGGGTTCTGAGATTTCGTCTGCTTCTCCGGCGTCTCTCCCGTCTCTTCACCGGTCCTCTCTTATTATTCGCCTGTTTTCTCACTCAGAGTGTTTCCTTAATGGATTGGCGTAAATTGTTCCGATGTGCTTCAAATCATCAGCTTCAGTATTTTCCCCCAAACGAGAGAAATGAAGTTCCGACCGTCCATCCTCCACCTGAAGTGTTTGAAGGTGGAATTTCTGAGTGGAAGCACTCCCTTGTGGGGTAATTTCTGGGGGCTGCTCCAAATTTTACAACTCTTCAAAGGATAATCGATGGTTTATGGAAAAATTCCTTGAAAGGTTCCAATATCCAGGTCAGTTACACAGGTCTCAATCTCTATTTGTTTTCCTTTGAATCCGATTATGCTCGTGACTAGGTAATGGAAAATGGGTCTTGGCATATTTACAATAAACCTTTAATTCTCAGACAGTGGGAACCTAATTTGCAAAAACTTCACTTTGATTTATCTAGAATCCCGATTTGGGTTCATTTGTACAATGTCCCTCTTGAACTGTTCTCTAATGATGGATTGAGTTATATTGCTAGTGCCAGAGGCTTCCTATTGTCAATGGATTCTGTCACAGCTTCTAAGACTAGATTGGAATACGCTAAAGTCTGTGTTGAAATAAGGGTTACTGATTCGATCCCTAAGACTATTGATGTTATTCTTAACAATGGTCTTCAAGCTACTGTTTCTGTTGATATCCCATGGCTTCCCCTTGCTGCAAGTCCTGTAACATTTTCGGCCATAGTACAAACTCTTGCAAGTCTAACCCAAATTCCTCCACCACTAGCCAAGTATGGAGGAAAAAAGAATCTATGCCTTCCTCTTCACAGCCCCAAGTTACTCCTTGCATTGATCCTTTACTGAACTCCAAAGCTGAGGATCCTGTTAGTGCTAAAGATTCCATTATTAAGGAAATTATTGCAGGAAACCAACTTAACTCTGAACTCCCACTTACTGGAAATGTTTCTTCTTCCCTGAGTGCTCAAATAAGTCATCCTCCTGATGTAGAATCTGTTGACGTGGAATATAATGTACCCAAAATTCCTTCAAAATCTGCTATCTTTATTAATGAGTTAGCATCTCCTTAAAAAAAGAATAGAGGTAGACCTCCGAGAATTAATCCCACCAAATCTTTAGCGGGTTCCTCAAACAAATTTGAGATATTAAATTCTATTGAAGAGACTCAACCCGAGCCTGAGATTCAGGGGAAAAAACCAAGAGCTGCAGCTTCTGGAGTTACAGATTTGATTAGAGAGCTCAAAACTAAAAAGAAATCCCATCTTGAAAAAGCAAAAAGTGCAATAGTAGGTAGTAAAAAGGGTGATACAGCCCCTTCTCCTCAATCCAAATGATAATTTCATTTTGGAACGTAAGAGGACTTAATAATCCTCTTAAACAAGGCAAAGTTCTTAGGATAGATACTCTTAATAATATTGATATCATCTGCTTGCTTGAAACCCGTGTTAAATTGGATAAATCTGTTGATATTCTTTCTTCTAGATTTGAGAAATGGAATGTATTTTGCAACTATGATCATGCTGTGAATGGGAGAATATGGTTTCTATGGAGAAAGGGAATTGATATTGCTTTATGTCATACTGCTGCCCAAAGTATTACTGTTAAATATTTCTACAAGAATGTCAACTTCCTGCTTACTGGAATTTATGGTTATAATGATGGAATAGCAAGAAGAAGCCTCTGACAGGATCTTAGAAGTATAGAAACTAGGTTTCCTAACTACCCTTGGATCTTGGGTGGTGACTTTAATGTTACTTTGTACCCTAATGAAAGTTCTAATCACAAACTTTTAGGTACATTTTATTCTTCTGACATGCTTGAATTCCAAGAGCTCACTCATGATCTTCAACTTCATGACCATCCATTCTTTGGACCTACTTTCTATTGGAGCAACAAACAAAGAGAAAACTTCCTTGCAAGAAAACTTGATAGAGTCATATCCAATTCTCAATGGTTTGAATCATTCCCTCAATCCTTTGTGGAATTTTTAGCTCCTGGTCCTTCTGACCACTGCATGGTTTTGGTCACTCTTAATAAAGAATTTCAACTCAGCAAACCCAAGTCTTTCAAAATTTTCAACTGTTGGACTCTTCATCAAAATTTCTTAAACACAGTCTTTAACTATTGGCTTCAATCTTGTCATGGCAACTCTATGAAGAAAATTTTTCTCAAGCTTAAAAGACTCAAAGCCTCCCTAAAAATTCTGAACAAGGATTATTTTAGTGATATTTCCGCCCGTATTAGAAGTAAAAGAGATGAAATTGAAAAACAACATATTCTTACCCTTAGAGGAGTCGAGCCCATTGGAACAGAACTTGATCTGCAAAGAGAACTAAATACTATTGAGGAAGCCGAGGCTATGGTTCTCAAACAAAAAGCGAAAACTCATTGGTTGAAAGAGGGGGATAAGTGCTCCAAATTCTTTTACTCTGTCACTGCTACCAAGAATAAATGTGACACCATTAGAGCCTTAGTTGATGATCAAGGAAGAAGACTAGACTCATTCGATGACATGTCTAATGAAACTATTAATTTTTTCAAAAATCTGCTTGGTTCCTCTGACCCTAAAGTTAAAGCATGTTCAACCAGTTTACTTAAAGGTCTGCTGCACCCTATTCCTTCATCTGAAGACTACGAGGGACTGACAAAGGAGATCACTAATGATGAGATTAAAGAGGCAATTTTCAGCCAAGGTAATGACAAGGCACCAGGTCCATATGGTTATACTCCTCTTTTCTTTAAGAAAGCTTGGCCTGTGATTGGAGATGAAGTGATTGATGCAATCAAATTTTTCTTTCAAGAATCATTCATCTACCCTGCATTCAATGCTACTACTATTGCCTTAGTTCCTAAAATTCCCAATCCTAGTAAAGTCTCGGATTTTCGGCCAATCTCTTGCTGCTCTGTACTTTACAAGTCCATTACAAAAATCATTGTTAAGAGGATCTCTCATTTAATGCCCAAGATTATTACCCCAAACCAATAAGCTTTTGTCAAAGGGAGGAATATTGTTGATAATACCCTCCTTGCTCAAGAAATAGTGAAAGGTTATGGGAGGAAAAATATTTCTCCTAGGTGTGCTCTAAAAATTGATCTTCACAAGGCCTTTGACTCTATCCACTGGGACTTCATTCCTATCATCCTCAAGGCTTTAGAGCTCCCTAGTAAATTCATCGACTGGATTACTGCCTGCTACTCAAATGCTTCCTACTCTATTGCCTTTAATGGAAGCTTGGTTGGATTTTCAAAGGAGCCAAGGGTCTTAGACAAGGTGGCCCTTTATCCCCTATTTTGTTTGTTCTTGTTATGAATGTTCTTTCCAATCTTCTTAATAAAGCTGCTGATAAAGGGATAATTGGTTTCCATTATAAGTGTAAGAAAATTGGCCTGACTCATCTTACTTTTGCTGATGATCTGTTAATTTTCTACAAAGGTAATCTTGAATCTGCTGTGGGTATAATTACTGTTCTTTACTCTTTCTATGAGATTTATGGGCTCGAACTTAATGCTCTCAAGTGTGAGATTTTCACAGCTGGTATCTCTGCTCCCTCTGTTGATAATATTATTAATTTTACTGGGTTTAAGCATGGTCTTTTGCCTGTCAAATATCTGGGAATCCCCTTGGTCACCAGAAAACTTTCTTTAAAAGATTGTCAGCCTCTTATTGATAAAATTAAAGACAAACTTCATAAATGGTCGAGGATGAAGTTGAGTTATGCTGGCAGGCTTGAGCTTATTAAAAATGTCCTCTTCAGCGTCGCTAATTACTGGTGTAGGCAGCTGATTCTACCCCAATCTATCATTAACAAAATCGAGCAAATCTGCTCTCGTTATTTCTGGAAAGGATTGGATACTCCTGCTTCAGGAGCTCGCATCAACTGGGGAAAAGTATGCACACCTAAATTTGAAGGAGGCTTAGGTCTCTAAGACATTAAATCATGGAATAGAGTTTGTATGATCCACCTTATCAAAAATATTCTTGCTCAGGGTGGCTCTTTATGGGTAGCTTGGATACATGGTTATATTATCAAGCATTTGAATTTCTGGTTCATGGAAGAATCCCCTACTTTCAGTTGGAGTTTTAGAAAAAATTTGAAGCTTCGAAATCTTGCTTATCCACTGCTTACTTCAGGAGTTAATAAACACAACAAAGTCCACTGGCAAAAGCTCATATGGTTTCCCATTCACATTCCTAAACACAACATTATTTCTTGGATGCTAATCCAGGATCACCTCCCCACCAAAGAAAGGCTGCTGAGGTTCGGGCTTGTTACCAACGACCAGTGCATCCTCTGCTCTGATGGATGCGAAACCATAAACCATTTGTTTGCAGAATGCAAACTATCTTCTTCAATCTGGAATTTCGTTCTTCTTCTTTCATGCATCAAAAAACCTCCTTTCACTTGGTCTAATCTACTGACTTGGACAACAGCAACATGGAAAGGGAAATCTTTCATTACTGTTATCCTCAAACTTTCTTGGTGCGCTTTCAATTATATTATATGGGAGGAAAGGAATCGAAGACTTTTCAGAGATACTTGCAGACCCTAGGACGCTATTATTCTTGAAATTAAGCAGATTATAGGGTCTCATTTAAGCAATAGAAATATCAACAGATTATATAGCACTAATTTAGATATTTGTAATCAATGGGGTATAGTTTAATTTTGGTTGTTCATAGGATACCCTTGATTCTTTCTTCTTTTCCTCTGTCTGAACTGATTTTGTAGCAGGTTTCTGCCACCTTTGGGTAATAAAAATATTAATTATCCAAAAAAAAATAGTTGGTGATCAACACTAAAACTGATATTTTCCTAAAGATTTTAAATCAATCGAGAAATTACAAGTTAATCCTTTTAAAAAGTGAAGTTAAATATTATTGTAATTTTATTATCTTTTCACATTTTATAAATTTTTTAAAAGGTCAGTTAATATAATTATTTCTAATAAATTTAATTAATTTTCAAAAAAAAATTAAAAACAATATAATTTAAGGAAGATAAATTATATATAAACAAAGCATTTCACTATAAAATTAAGTATTGTTCACACAAACAAATATATACATATATCTTAAAAACTTTTATTTCTTAAATTATTTTTTATTAATTAAATTACTTTTTAATGTTCTTAGAATTTTGCGTTTAAATATGTACTAATTCATAATCTTTAAGAATTTGGAATTTTAAAAGTAAGACTTCCATAAATTATGGGTAAGTTGGTGGATGATGTAGAATAAGAATGTGTGGAGTGCATGATGACGATCAATTTCTGAGTTTTGATAGCAATTAAGTGAATTTAGTAATTAAAAAAATTGTTATTATAATTTAAGGTTTTAAATTCAAACACTACATATATTATAAGTATGAGCGTTCGTTGTCAAATAATTAAAAATTTTAAATAAATATTACTTTTATATATCCAGATTTATAAAAAAAATGTGATTTATTGGGACCGACTTTATGAATACCTATTGTATAAAAAACCAATTGACGGTAGTGTGGTAATGCTGTGAAAGAGTAACAAGTGTACGAGTTTAATGTCGGTAGATGGCGCACAAAAGCCATGTGGTGCCGTAGACTCACGCTTAGCTTGTTCACTTTTAAGATGCCTAATGAGTTGAATAGTAAAATTCGATAAAAATTTGAACCGGGTTGATTTGATTTGAACTCGACTCGAGATCTTAACTAATCGAGTCGAACAAAGTTTCACTTGACTCGATAAGTTTATGAACAGTTTGTTAATTTTTTAATAATTTTTTACTAATTATCTTAAAAAATTATTTCATTAAAAAATTACTAATTTACCGATAGATGATAAATGACTAATCTATTAATTTTATGATAAAAATTACTAAATTATTAATTAATAATTACTATCTTACTGCACTAAAAAATTAAACCCTAATTATTGTTTTAATATATTTGTTGATTTTTATTTTGGAGTTTAGACTTTGAATTTGTTTCATATACTCTTTTGATAATTTTTTAATTAAAGTTATCAATTTACGTTTATATTAAGCTTTATATAGTATTAGTATATTTTACCTATAGTTAAAAATAAGATGAAAATTTTGGTGAGCTTAACGAGCAACTTGGCGAGTAACGAGCTTCGAAGCAACGAGCTTAACGAGCAACAAAGTTTTTTTTAAAACGAGCACGAGTCGAGCAAAATTTTAACGAGCTCAACGAGCATCGAACAAAAAAATCTTTTTAACGAGCACGAGTCAAACACTGCCTAACTCGCGATCGACTTGCTCAATAAGTACCCCTAGTTCTCTCTATTTATCTTTCGTCTCCTTACATTTCCATCTTATGTGGCTGATGGTTCCACTCTTTTGATTTTCACCTTATTTGGCGTATTTTATCTAGGGATTTAAATAAATAACCTACAATTAATTATTCGTCAATCGTTTGTATAATGTAAGTTTATGTTCTTTTGTTAAGCATGAGTGAATATGAACAAATTGTTTTTGTTCATTTAATAAATGAACGAACATAAATAAAGATGTGTTCAGTTCGTATATTTTCACGAACAAGCTCGTTTATGAGCTCGTTCATTTATGTTGTGAATAAGCTTATTTACATGATTCTCTTTTTTTTTGCATTTTAAATATTGGTAAATATATTAACTAAATTGAACATATGATAAAAGTTAAAATTTAAACTGTGAATTTTAAGGTGTTTAAGCACTAGTGATGTCATTTTACCATTTTCTTTAGCTTGCAAATGTAAAGGTAAAATAAAAAATTCAACATATAAACCAGCATTATATAAACATATTTGTGAATATTAAACAAACATGTTCTCGAACAATATATAAATGAATACGAATATATTCAAAAATAAATAAAAGAATATGATATAAAATTTTTAAATGAACACGAACCATATATGAACACTTTAAAAGATAAATAAACAAATATGAACATAACATTATTTATTCAAACTCGATTGATTTGCCTTCCTAACTTTACCTTACCTTTTCCTTCTATATATGTTAGTATTTGCTTTTTGCTTTCAACAAGGGTAACATTGCACCTTCAAAAAATGGCAAACCAACTCAATAATTAGTTTGGTCAATAAAACCACAGTTGTAGTAAGGATCATTGTAAGTTGAGACTAGCATGAAAGTACAAATCGTGTGTAATAAAATCCATTAATTAGTTTTTTAGGTTGATAATTACTACACAAAAGAATTACCATGCAAACACTTGAATTTGCACTAATGTGAAAGATTTCTTTACTTTGAATGGTATTTTTTATTATAAATTTTTTATTATCTATGTTAATTTCGAAAATGAACAAATTAATTATAATTAAAAGAAAAATAATAAAAATTATTTGTTGTGAAATCATAAAATTATAATAAAAACAAGAGATAAATAATTAATATAAAAAAGAGGATATTACTTTTCAATTGTCTATATTTCGTAAGTTTGTATATAGCCACTAAATCATCAATTGTGAAGGGTTATACGAAGATAGAAGATTTGGTTCACTAAAAAGATCATTATTAGAGGAGATTATTATTTTTTTCGGACTTACATTTCCATGTTTAGTTCATGAAAAGATTATTATCAAAGAATAATATGTTCCTAATAGTAGTATTTTTTTGTTAAAATCGTGTAAATTTTATTACCTTTAAATTCATAGTTTATAGTAAGGGTGTAAACGAGCCGAGTTGAGCTCGAGTATTGCTAAGCTCTACTCGAAAACTCTGAAATGAAGCTCAATTCGACTCAAAAATTCACGAGCTTAAAATTTTTAAGCTCGACTCGAACTTGAAATCCTAAACTGAAACCCGTGAACAGCTCAAGAAAGCTCGAAATGAAAAAAAAAATATTAAACTTAACTCAATTAAAGCCTCAAACTCAAACTTGAACCTGAAACTTATATACATGAAACCTTATTGTATTTAAAAAAAATCAACACATAAATGTTAATATTATTAATAATTTATTTTTTTTTTAAAATCTTAATACATTATATTTTTTAGTTGCTCACGAGCTTTTCGAGTCGAGTATCAAGTAGCTCGTTTCAGTCTCGTTAAGAATTCGAGTCAAGCTTGAGCTCGAGTCCATTCGATCCAAGTATTTGTCGAGCCTTGACCGAGTCGATCTCGAGTAGCTCGCGATCTGCCTCGTCTCATTTACAATTCTAGTTAGTAAAAAAAATCCCCACCACTTTGGACCATAATACCCATAAACTAATAAATTCTTTTTATAACGATCCCTCCCAATTCTTATTTTTTGTAGTTTACTTGAAATTATAAACATAATAATAATATATAAAGAGTTTAATTTAGTAAAATATTAATAAATTTGAGTATTTAAAATTATTTTATATTTTTTTATATCTAATATATCAATTATTTATAATTTTATGAGATAAAAAAATAATATTATTGAAAAAATGTAATTATTTAAAATAATATCTAATTTTAAGTTATTAAAAATATATCTTATTTATTGAAAAATAATATTTTTATCCACTCGAGACCATGATATTATTTTTTATATTATATTATATTTTAGATAAATATATATGATACTTATGAAAATCATTTAAAAATATAAGTTTAGTACACTAATTATATATTAAATGTATTTTTTTCCAAAAGTTAGATAGTATAATAATTAAAATATTTCTATATTTCATCCAAATATTAATAATTTAATATTAAAGTTTAGTTTTTTTAAATATATATATATATATATATATGTGTGTGTGTGTGTGTGTGTGTGTATCACAAGGATAATTTGGTAAAATATGCATTCAAGTAATCTTATACTCCTTCAATCAAATACAATAATTTTACATTCATACTAAACAAATCAAACAATACAATACAACATTCTCATAATAATATTGAATTCCAATAATGTTATTCTCAAAATTAACTTTACATTCCTTCGATAAAACGCCCCTAAGGATTAAAAAAAATGAAAGGCAAAATTTTGTCATAAAGACATCCATTAAATAGTATTTATAATACTCACGTCCTTTGTAAAATATGTGTTTCATAAAAAAAAATCTTATTGGAATTTTTTTTATAAAAATTAAGTGAAAAAATATTATATCATATTTTAATAGACCAAATGGTTACCATATAATTTATCATAATATTAAATAAATTTATTTCTAAACGAGTCGAATATTCTAAATCCACCAAAGGAATCATAAAATAGTAAAATTGGCTCAATACAGCAGGTGAGTTAATTACTTAGTCCAATACAATACAAAGTAAGTTATTTAGGGATCTATAGTGTTTATTACATGATTTGAAATTTATCACGTCGATATGATGAGTTTTAGTAAAATATATTTTTATTTAAATTTTTTATTGTGATATGATAAATTCTAATAAAAAATATATTTGATTAAAACTCGTTACGCCGAAGTGACGAGTTTACCCTGTTGGATTAAAATCCATATTTGTGGGCACGTATGTATAATGTAAAATATTATCATAAAGTATGACACAAAATTAAGTGATCAATTATGTTACATGTGTTATATTATTAAAGTGTCATAGAATCAAAGTGTAGATACCATAAATTGTATTCATAATTTGATGAGGGACATAATTATAAATACTTAAAAGATTAACCTCATATTCAATCTATATAAAGAGGTAGCGATCCCCAAGAAATAGATTAACTTGTATTACTCTTATCTCGTAAGAGAATTTTTATGACAAGATTAGATCCTAATTATTGTTCATATTTATTATAATTTCGGTTCTAACATACCTTGCCATGTAACATTTATTGCAGATTGAAAAATAAATTCCGAACTAACCTATTGCACCAATTAATTTTTTCAGCTTGACTTAATGGAGCCAACACAAAAAAATCATTGAAGTCCTTTCAAGACTGAGTTTCTTAGCCCACATATATCCATTGGTTTTAGGTCCAATTTCATTTTATTTCGCGAGTCAAAAAAATCTAAAACCCAATACCTCGAAGAAAGCAAGAAAACGAAGGTTAATCTTTTTTTAATCCCTTACGAAAAGAACAGTAAATTCTTTTTCTCTTTTAACTTTTACTGTGTAAGTGGTAAAAAATATTTTAAAACTGTTTTAAATATTTAATAACTAAAGTAATAAAAAAATTTTATATAGTTTTATATATTTAATTTTTAAATTATATTTTAAAGTATTTTATATAAAAATATAAATAATAATATAATCATATTAATATTAATATACTTTAACTAAATTAACTTGTAATAAAAATATAGATTTTTTTAAAATTTAATCCAAGCCATAATGATAAATTTACTTCTCAATATTTATATTTTTTCTCATTTTAGTATTATTTTCATGTTTAATTAAATTTGACTCTTAGTGTTTTTCTAATAAATATTGAATTTAACTATTAAATTTTAAAATTAATTGAATCGTTATTTTAAAAATAAAAATATTAACTAGAATGATAAATTCTTGTTGAGATTGACATAAAATCTCATATGTATGTATATTTTTTATATTTTAAATATTTTTATAATTATTTATTCAAAAAAATATTTTTGGGTGTTTGATAAACATCTTTTTAAAGAGTTTTTAGCTTATTTAAACATAAATATTTGATTGATAGTTAAATTATCCAGTTTTAGTGTTTGGTAAACATCTTTTTAAAAGAGTTTTTTGTGCAAAATAAACTTAAAATGAAAATGCTAGAAAATCCAATGGCTTAGAAGAGCTAATTGCAAAATAAGATGTTAAATGACATATTCCTCCGAATTATAAAATGCCCTCCATGAGACTCAATCCCACGACCTCAAGGTTAAAAACCTTGTGCTCTACCAACTGAGCTGGATGATCATTTCTTATATAATGAAATAGCCTTCATCCTAATATATTTAAGCTGAATTTTTATTTTATTATCTTATTTTTTAGTTGTAGATTCTCAAATATATTTTAGTTAAGAATATATATTTTAGTTAAGAATATATAACAAAACATGAAAGTAAAAAAAATGTAGTGTTGATATTTTATACAAAGTTAATAGTATGTATCAATCTCACAAGGTTAATATTTGTAAATATTAAATTTTAAAAATACATTTAAAATTTTAAAAAATATTTACTAATTTTCTTAAGGAATTTTAATTTATTATCAAAAGTATTTTATCCGAATAATTTCACCCCAATAAAGACTAAAGTATTATAAAACATGTATGTACTTAACAACTAAATATATTATACTCTTATTTGTCATTTTACCCGTATCATATATCAGCTAAATTCTACCAAACACTTTTATATAAATAGTTAATTAAATCAGTTGGTCAAACCAACTACTAGAATCAACTACCAACTATTAGTTGTTTGTCAAACACCCCCTTTATAATTATAAATTATGTATCAATCTAACATGAAACAAATAATTTTATATGTAAATTATTATTTTAAAATCATAAAAAATAATGAAATTATTTTCTAACGAGTTAAAAGTCAAATTTAAATAAAGAAAAGAATAAGAATCAATTTCATAAAAAATATAAATATTAAAAACTGATTTTGTCGATGTGCCCAAATGCAACAAGGAAGAAGCTCTTAGAGAAGTGAGAAAGGGGATTAATATAATTATTATCCAAACAGACGACAGCGGGAACACGCTATCCCTCATATTATTCCAGACAATCTAGAACCATCGCCTTGAAGAAAAAGAAGTTAAGGGAAGAGAGATATAAAAATCAATAATTATATAAAGCATGAGAGAAACCGAAGGGCCTGTTTGGTTCATTGCTTTGCCCAGAGTGAACGACTAGTTGAAGGAGTGGGAATCAATCGTCAGCGATTCAGGGACCTGATAAGTTTATGGGTTTTCTTTGGATTATTTCAAATTAGATAAAGATTTCATCGAAGAAGTAAACCTGGGGAGTGAAGGAGGCTCCAGATTAGGGCCGTGCTTGTCTTGCGCAGATTGGCTGCTTCGTTACTGCCATTTAATTTTCCGTAAGAAAATGGAATCGCCTTCCGGTTCTTTGCCGATTAAGCCCCGTGATCGAGTCCTAAGGGTACGTCCTTTATTTAATTTTTATTTTATTTTTCAAATCATTCAATCAGGTGAAATGTGAAAATTTTGAAGTTTAATTTTATTTTTTTAAATTTCGTACGTCCCAAATTTTTTGATGTTGAAATGAATAAGCTGAAAAGAACTGTTGATTTTGTAATCAGAGGTTAGCTGCTATAGGGATTCCAATGGAGTACCTCGAAAGGTCTTATGAGGGGATAGTTGGTTTTGTTAATGGTAACGAGTTATTGTTGCCGGAAGTAGTTTCTGCAATCTTACCTGCAGATGAAGATGTGGCGGAGTCTATACAAGATACTGAGGAATGGATGTGTTTGAATATGAAAAATCAGTTCCGAGAGAGTATGGTTTGGTTACAGTGGCTGATGTTTCAGGATGAACCTATGAATGCTTTGAAAAACCTAGCGAATTCGGGTGTTGGTCAAAGCGGTGTTTGTGGTGCAGTTTGGGGATCGAATGACATTGCGTATAGGTGCCGGACATGTGAGCATGATCCGACTTGTGCTATTTGTGTTCCCTGTTTCCAGAATGGGAATCATAAGGATCATGACTACTCAACTATATATACAGGTGGTGGTTGCTGTGATTGTGGAGATGAAACAGCTTGGAAACAGGAGGGGTTTTGCTCGAAGCATAAAGGTTCAGAACAGATTCAACCACTTGGTGATAGCATAGCAAAATCTGTTGGTCCAGTGCTTGATGCACTCTTTATTTGTTGGAAAAACAAGCTTTTTGCAGCAGAACGTGTATTTCATGAAAATACGAGAGCAACCAATCGTGGTGCTGAACAGAGGAAGGCTGCAAATGAACTTACTTATGTGGTCGTTGAGATGCTTATAGAATTTTGCAAGTATAGTGACAGTTTGCTCAGTTTTGTGGCAAGGAGGGTAATTTCTCTAGATGGTTTATTGGATTTTCTGGTCAGAGCAGAGAAGTTTGTTGGTGATGGTGTTGCAAAGAAACTCCATGAATTGCTGCTGAAATTGCTGGCAGATCCCGTCTTCAAAAATGAATTTTCGAAAGCATTTTTAAGTTACTACCCAACTGTTATAAGTGAAGTCATAAAAGAGGGAAGTGACAGCATTTTCAATGAGTACCCACTAATCTCAACTTTCTCTGTCCAAATATTCACAGTGCCAACGCTAACTCCTCGCCTCGTGAAAGAGATGAACCTATTGGACATGCTACTGAAATGCTTGGGAGACATTTTTCTTTCTTGTGCTAGAGAAGATGGACGTTTGCAGGTAATTTCCATTTTTCTTATTGAAATAGGTCATAATTTCAGGAGGGCATACAATTTTGGCATAAAAAATAACAGAGACTGAGATTTTCTCACATTCTATGTCATTTTGGTTATTGCAATAAAACATAACTCCTGAAAATGGTTATTGAAGAATTTGTTTTACTAGTAGCGCGCTAGAATTTTGACGGCATATATAAGTTTTTGTGTTTTGTTCTTTTGCAGACTGCTAAGTGGGGAAGTTTATACGACACCACAAACCGTGTAATTGAAGATATTCGGGTTGTCTTGAGCCATGATGTAGTCTCCAGATACGCAATACATGAGCAGAAGGACATTTTAAGAACTTGGCTCAAGCTTTTGACTTTTGTGCAAGGGATGAACCCTATTAAGAGGGAAATCGGCCTCCATATTGAAGAAGAAAATGAATCTATGCCTTTTGTTTTAAGCTATTCTATTTCCAATATTCATTCCCTTCTGGTAGAGGGGGCATTTGCAGTTGCCTCAAGTGAAAGGGAAAATATTCTTTCTTATGCTTATAAGCAAGATGTGGATGATGGAGATAGCATAAGGCATGCAAAAGTAGGAAGGCTCTCTCAAGAGAGTTCTGTTTGCTGTCGAACAGGAAGGAGTGTTTCAAAGACTACCGAAATTGGATCCGACTCCGTATCTCATCTTTTAATTCCCTCCTCTGCCATCTGGTTAATACAGGAGTGCTTAAGGGCTATGGAGGCTTGGCTAGAAGTTGATGGCGGTACCTCTGCTGCTCTTCAGAGTTTATCTTCTCCAAATAGTAGCGACAGTTCTGATAGCAATTTTCGGGCAATAAAGAAAACATTGTACGACATTAAGAAAGGAAAATACTTTGGGAAGCTAACTGGTTCAAGTGAGAATCATAGCTCACAATGTTCTCCTGTATATAGTGGAAATCAAGCAAGTGATGATATGGACAAAAGTAGAGGCTCAGACAGTAAAAGCATGCCAGCTGAAACTGATCCAGTTGCATGTGGTTATATAGGTGATGTCAGTGCCATGGAGACAGAATGTGGCGTAGAACTACCTACTTTGCGTGTTTTGAGCTTGTGTGAATGGCCAGATATCGTTTATGATGTTAGTTCACAAGAGATATCTGTTCACATTCCATTATATCGATTATTTTCCTTGCTTCTGCAGAAGGCATTGAGAAATTATTATGGTGAATCTTCATTGCCAAATATAACAAATGCTTGTTCAGCAAGTTCGTTATCAGCACATGCAGATTTCTTTGGTCACATCCTCAGGGGCTGCAACCCTTTGGGGTTCTCTGCATCTGTTATGGAGCATCCCTTAAGGATTAGGGTATTTTATGCTCAAGTTATTGCTGGAATGTGGCGGAAGAATGGGGATGCTGAGTGGTACCGCTTTGTTCGCTGGTAGGTTAAATTTGCTTTATTTGTTGTGCATAACTAGTGGGAAGAAGTCCCCTAAGTTTCCATTTCTTAATTGTCAAGTTCTGATGCTCTTTTCTTGCAGGACTGAACAAGGTTTGGAGCTTGATCTATTCTTGCTGCAGTGCTGTGCGGCACTTGCTCCTCCTGATCTCTATGTTAAGAGAATTGTAGAGCGCTTTGGGCTTTCAAACTACCTTTCTCTGACCCTTGAAAGGTCAAATGAGTATGTATTTACACCTACTTTTACATCATTTAAATACTTATAAATACTATACTAGGATGCTACTTTTGCTACTTGGTTGCCGCTCATAGGGTAAATACCTTTCGTAATTTGGTCCAAGTAATTTAAATAGCAAAAACCAAAATTATATCCCTATTGTATAAGTTCAACAGGAGCATGTTGAATCCCTTTTGAAGTGAAATCATTCTTTTGCATGCATGAAACGTCAATTTATTGTTGCTTTGGAAATGACATCAAGTAGCAAAGATGGTCCGGACATTTTCACTCCCTTGCGTACATAAGGACATAAGATTCTGAATTTATGTTTGATGTTATGAGACACTATTAGTATGCTAAATGGTAATGTATTTCAGGTACGAGCCGGTTCTTGTTCAGGAAATGCTCACTTTAATCATGCAAATTTTACTAGAAAGGCGATTTTGTGGACGCAGCACTGCTGACAGTTTGAAAAGAGAACTGATTTATAAGTTAGCCATTGGAGATGCCACTCACAGTCAACTAGTGAAATCTCTACCTCGCGACCTTTCTAAATCTGACCAGCTTCAAGAAATTTTAGATAGGGTTGCTGTATACTCCAATCCATCAGGCTTTAATCAGGTTGGAGTTTGTGGTCTTATATATCCTTTCAATGATATGGGTTGTCAAAATACTTTTGACCTGTTAATATTTCATGATGTTGATGTTATGCTAGGGAATGTATTCATTGCGTTGGGCCTATTGGAAGGAGCTGGATTTATACCACCCTTGTTGGAACTCGAGGGATTTGCAGGTCGCAGAAGAAAGATACTTGCGTTTCTGTGGTGTTCCAGCAATGACTACTCAGCTGCCTAAGTGGGCAAACATATATCCTCCTCTTGAGGGAGTTGCTAGGATTGCAACATGCAGAGAGACCCTTAAGATTATTCGTGCAGTGATGTTTTATTCTGTTTTTACTGATAAATTTACTGAATCACGTGCTCCTGATGGTATCCTTATGACAGCACTGCACTTGCTTTCATTAGCATTAGACATTTATTTGCAGCAGAATAGATCTGGTGGTGTAGAACGTCATATTGGAGATTCAAATTCTATTCTAGCTTTCGCTAGTGAAGAAATTATTGAGTCATTAAACTATGGTGCTGGCAAGCAGAGTTTGTTATCACTACTTGTTGCACTAATGAGAATGCATCGGAAAGACAATGTAAACAGTTATACGGAATCCAGCAACTGCAGTTTCTCTCCTCTGATTGAAAGTTTATTGAAAAAGTTTGCTGGAGTTGATTCCCAATGCATGACCATACTGCAACAACTTGCGCCTGAAGTGGTCAGCCATCTGTCCGAATCTACTTCGAATACTGAGAGAAGTATGTCAGGTTCAGCCTCTGATAGTGAGATGCGCAAGGTGAAAGCTCGTGAAAGACAAGCGGCCATAATGGTGAGTGAAGCAATCTTGAAAAAAGTCTGATAGGATGTTGGTGAAAGACCTAAACAATCTTGACTATAGCAGTATGCTCCTCTATTAACATAAACTTTGATGTTTAATACTTGGCCCTTATAAAAAATTCTTCTGTGATTCCTTTAAAATGAGGATTTTTTTTATAAGATCTTTAAAATGAGGATTAATTAAACTAGAGTCCAATATCGCTTTTCTGAATCTTGTATTTTTGTAGAAGTGATCTTGGTTTCACCTCAGAATGGGGGATTCCTACTCATTGGATTATGCCATGTTCATTTATTTCCTGGCCTAGTGAGAAAGCTTGTAGTAAATGCTGAATGGACAGTTTCCTGCATTTTAAGTGCTAGGTGCGTTGCGTGACTGTTGATTAAACAAACTGAATAGATCCTTTAAATGTGCCAGTTCCTCACTGCTATCTTTGGGTAACAGTGGAGTCAATCAGTATGTGAAAGTTGAAGAAAAATGGGACATAATCTGTGTGTTAGTTTGTGGATTTGAATCTGTAATTCTTCTTGCAGGCAAAAATGAAAGCAGAACAGTCTAAATTTTTGTCAAGCATCATTTCAACTGCGGCTGATGATACAAAATCTGAAGCAGAAGTTTCTGATTCTGACATGAAAAATGAAGCAGAAGGTGCTTTGCAACAGAGTTGCTCCCTTTGCCATGATCCTACTTCCAAAGATCCTGTTTCTTTCTTGATTCTTCTCCAAGTAAGTGTTTAGACTTAAGTCTTCAGGTTACCCATCACTTTGCGACAAACAGAATCTTCTTTTTTCCTTAAAGAATTAATATTTTACTATTTCTTGAAAAAAGAAATCTAGGCTTTTGAGCTTTGTTGATAGAGGACCTCCATCATGGGATCAATGTTCAGACAAGCAGCAAGGTTATATTCCCACAAATAGGACGACCAATCAGTCGGGATCAAATGCCTCTGCCAGCAATTCAGGATTGGCTTCTTTTTCAGCGCGGTTGACTGAAAATTCAGTTGTTGAGTCTAACAATAATGAGCAGGGGCAAGATAGGGAAGTAAATGCCATTCTTGAGTTTTTCAAGTCTCGATTTCCTTCAGTGAGGAGCATTCAAGCACCTTTCATGTCTACTGATGCGAGGGATAGTGGTGTATATAGTTCGGGGAAGGTGGAGGAAGATATGTACATATCTATTCGTAACGAAATGCATGATATTTCGTTAAACTCAAGCTTTAGAACATATGAAGCATCTTCTGCTGCTGAATGTTCCTCAGAAAACCGCAGGGATGCTGAATCTGACATACTTGGAAAATACACTGTTGCACTTTCAAATGAGACAATTGAAAACTCTTTGGGAACTGAAAACACTGATATCAATAGAGAGTTGACGGAATCTACTTCACAGCCTCTTGTTTATGATGGATTTGGCTCATTAGATTGTGATGGAATTTATCTGTCTTCCTGTGGACATGCTGTACATCAGGATTGTCTTGATCGCTATTTATCATCACTGAAGGAACGGTAAGTCTTCTAAAAATATTATTTTAGTTCTTATTTGATAGTTTTGCGTTTTTATTTTAACATTATTCTGAATGTAAATAATAGAGTGAGAATTCAATGGCTCATGCAACAATATACCCTGATCTTTCTCAAAGCAATTATGAGGTGTTAACTTAAAGTTTAGTTCATTGTTTGGACTTCATATTGTACTTTTGGTGAAGTGTTCTCTACTGAAAAGTATAGATTTGGAGCTTAAATCACATAATTGGAATTTTCCATGCCTAAATTTGCTGCCATTGAAAGGCTCCTAGCCTTGGTAGTCCAGGTTAACTTCAATCTCATTGTGCCTTTAAATCCTCAAGCTTCTTGAGTTAATGATTTGAATAGGTTTTGAAGTTTATTTGTAATTTCATTTATCAAGAAACCAGAAGGTGCAGAAATTTAGCTTGGAGACTTTAAATGATGCCTGCCTAGAAGTTATCTGGCATAAAAGTGCATAAGATATCTTCTTGCTCTGTGGTTGCAGATTTGCACGGAGGAGTTTCTTTGAGGGTGCACATATTGTGGATCCTAATCAGGTACTAGTTTCACAAAAAAATATTCTTTTGCAAAACCTTATCTTACATTTGATGTTGAACTTGTACTTCTTTTGTCAGGGAGAGTTTTTGTGCCCTGTGTGTCGTAGACTAGCAAATTCTGTCTTGCCTGTAGTGTGTGGGACTTTCCAAAAGGCAGGAAGGAAGCCTACGACTTCAACTGTTTATCAAATGCCTTCTTTTGGTTCTCAATCTTCAGTAAGCAAAGAAACTGTTTCCCTTCTGCTTCAGCCGGGTTTATGTCTTCTAAATACCGCTGCCAAGATGGTTGGGAGACCTCATTACTTTGAAGCTCTTTCTCTTCAAAGAAAAGGAAGTTTAAGTCAGGATCTGGAGTCTGTATCTCGGGTGCTGTCTAAAATGTATTTTTCGAAAAAGCGGGATAGATTCTTAGGATCTCCAAGGTTAAGCCTCTCAATAATTTTGTGGGATACTCTCAAGTATTCGCTTGTGTCAACAGAAATTGCTGCTCGCAGTGGAAAGACGTCCATGGCCACAAATTATACTCTTACTTCTTTGTATAAGGAGTTCAAATCTTCTAGTGAATTTATATTTTCCTTGTTGCAAAGAGTTGTCCAGAACCTGAGCGGTACAAATTCTCTTCTTGCTCTTCAAAGATATAGAGGTCTTCAACTGTTTTCTGTCTCTATTTGCTCTGGGGTTGGCCTTGATAACCACAGCACCTCAAATAAACAAGAAGGTATGGTTTTAACTCATTATTGCTTTGAGATCCACTTGAAATTTGGAACATTTATGAAGAATTTTTTTATACTAAGTTGTTGATGCTGTAGATATATTTAACAAATAGAAATCATGGTTTATCCAAGTTTGATGCTGCTTGTGTGTTTTGAAGGATCTCTAGTCTTTTGACGGTTTGAGTCACAAAAAATTGAAATAGGTCATTGCTAAAACTGAAGCATGATGATAAAACTTACTCATTCCAAGGAGATGGCCTTTTTCTTCTTAACCAATAGCAGGGATAAAGGGACCTAAGAGGGATAAAAAAGTGAATGGGAGGATGTCAATTATCATGTGCGTGTGTGTTGGTGGATGTTTATCATATTTGGCATTAACTGTAAATACAATTATAAGTTGTCTTACTTTTGGATTCTTGTGGTATAAATTGAACTCTTGATTGTATATTGACAGACAATCTTCTAAATATCTTGAAACAAGATGATAAGGAAGTGTTATATCCTGATATTCAATTATGGAATCGAGCATCTGATCCTGTTCTTGCTCGTGACCCTTTCTCATCATTGATTTGGGTTCTCTTCTGTCTTCCCTGCCCCTTTTTCTCATGTGAGGAGTCCTTGTTATCCCTTGTGCATCTCTTCTATGTTGTCTCTGTGATTCAGGTTTGCTACTATCTCCCTTCATGTAGGTTCCTTTACTAGGATGATTTTCTTTTCTGAACTTTTTGGGGTCCAACATGAAAAAGAAATTTTGATTACAGACAATGTTTCTGGTCAAATGAAACAGTATGAAGAAATATCGACGCTTTCTTGGGAAATATTTGTATGATTTTATCTAAGAAACATGTTAAGCGTCTTACCTAAACCAATTGACAGTGGACAAAGAGACCCAATTTGAATATAAGGAATACTGGAAATTGAAAAGTTAACCTATTTGATTCAGACCACTTTAATGGCACCAGCACAGGTAAGTGAAGATGGAGAACCTACCATGTGACACTTGGAAGGGATATTAGGCAGAACTACATGCAATAACAACATAACAGAACCTGGGGTTTGATATGATAAGCATCCAACCTAAAATCAATTGGCAGGTGGGGAGGCCCAACTTGAATATTAAGACCATAGGAAATCCAAGACTTTACCGCAGTGTAATATTTTTCCTTCAGGGATTTGTTTCAAAGGACTGCATTGACTGTTTGAAATTTTCCTTAAAGCAGTCATTTTCTATGAATGAAATTATTATTCACTATAATTTGGCACTGCAATAAAATTTCTGAATTTGGTTTGCTCATTTCAGGCTTTAATTGTATGTTGTCGGAGACCTGGTTGTAAGGTCAATGGATTAGATTCTCATCATCGCCTAATTACTGATATCTGTGGTGTTCTTGGAGAACCTGACTGTGCTCACTGGTATTTTATGTCAAATGGTGTAGACCACTCTTGTGATATTAGAGAAATGATTCGAAGATTGAGTTTCCCATACTTGCGGAGATGTGCATTGTTGTGGAAATTGCTTTTCTCTTCTGCCCCAGCACCATTTTGTGATAGGGATAATGTGTGGGAGTCGTCTCATGTGACAACTGATATGATGGATACAGTTGAAAGTACTTCAGTGGAGCTTGGTGAAATACAAGAACTAGAGAAGATGTTTAAGATTCCTCCTATAGATGTTGTTCTTGAGGATGAAGTCTTGCAACCGTTTGCATTAAAATGGTTTTATCACTTCAAAATGGTATATGGAACCGGCAGTTTCCAAAATGTTTTCTACTGCAATCCTGCAGTTCCATTTAAGTTGATGAACCTGCCTCATGTTTATCAAGACCTATTACAAAGGTTTGTTCCAATATCCATTCATAGACATGCCGATATTGTGCCTCTTTCAAGTATATGAAGTTCATGAGAATATATCCGTTTCAACAGGTACATAAAGCAGTCTTGCCCTGATTGCAAGGCTACACTTGATGAACCTGCATTATGCCTTTTGTGTGGTAGATTATGCTCTCCAAGTTGGAAATCATGCTGCAGGTAAATTTTCAACTTCCTTTTCTTTTGCTGATTCTGTGCTTAACGTGTGCATTTATCCATTATTCTCCAGTACTTTGATTGTTTAGATTCTTTAGTAAATCTAAAGTACTGATCTCTTTCTTTAATATTTGCCTTAATAGGGAAAGTGGATGCATGGCTCATGCAATGAACTGTGGTGCTGGTATCGGTGTATTTCTGTTGATAAGGGTATTGATCTCCTAGTTTTTGCTCGGAAGTTTCACCTATTTCTTTTGGAGTGGCTAATAGTTTTTTATTGTTGTAACAGAGAACAACGATCCTGCTGCAAAGATGTGCACGTCAAGCTCCTTGGCCTTCTCCATATTTGGATGCTTTTGGGGAAGAGGTAAAGCATACTTTTTATTATCCAAGTTTGTAACAATCATGTATTTGGTAACTTGAGGTCGAAGCAGATAAAATATTGGTTAGTGTCAAGTGTAATAGAAACAAACATATTGCACTTTCATCCTTTTCTACTGGAACCGACGAAGTGTGGTTATGATTGTGTTATCTCCTTATCAGTATCGACCACACTAAGTTTGGTAATTCATGAGCCATGGGAAATTTTGCACCAAGGTTCTACGTTGCAATTCAATGTGAAGCAACTTGGGAAATTCTGAAGGATTTATTAAGAAAGGTTAATATACTTGATTGATCCTTACAAAATTTTAAGAGATTCTGGAGCTGATATATTTTTGTTTCTGTAAAACCATATATAGGTGTAAGTATCCCTCGAAAATTATTCATCTTGTTGAAACTTTATGAGATACCAGAATTCTTAATTGTGTCGTGGGACTGAATCTTGAACTTTAAATTTGTATGTGTTTGTTTTCATTTTTAATTTGTACTTGCATTTCATATCATATGGAAGGGTTTTCTTACGATCTATTTGTGATATTCTACGTCTCTTCCATATTTAGGATATTAAAATGCGTAGAGGAAAACCACTGTACTTGAACGAGGAACGTTATGCTGCTCTAACTTACATGGTAATTTCTAAATCCTTTGTTTCCCTTGTGTATTTGTTGTCCATGACGCTAGAGTTTTATATTTTCCGATGACCATGCTCGTAATAATATGTTCTTTCATTAATAGGTTGCCTCTCATGGTCTTGATCGGAGTTCAAAGGTTCTAGGCCAAACAACCATTGGTACCTTCTTCGTGGTTTAGCTCGGTTTCATGATCAAGGTGTCGGTTAATATTTGGCCTCTTTTTTGTTTCTCTGTATCTCTTGCAAGACATCAAATTGCTTAGAAAATGGTTCTACAAAACTGAAGGTTACCGGTATCCGTAAATGACTGCACAAACCAAGGGTCTCGCACAATGATGATGGCGAGTGCCCGTTTTGGGTAGACATATTGGTAATCAGGTCATTTTAGCAGATTGAGCGCTTTTCTATTTTTTTTTCTTTGCGTATTTTTACTCTTTGTTAATGAAAATGATTATTGAATCACCGGATTTTATGGGAGACGGTCTCTGTCGGAGTTACTCTTGTTTTTATTCAACATTTTCTCATTATATTTTCTATTATTTTGATGGGTTTGTAATATGCTGTGTACATGGTTGCACATTTTCACGAGATCTCAGCTATTCCCGGTTAATTCAATGGCGGCGGCGGCGGCTGTTACTTGTATTGTCCCTATTTTTTTTTTTTACTTTTAGAAATTCTTGTTCAACATTCTATTCTGTTGGATTTGAATGTGAAGTACAGTCTTTTAGATTTCAGAAAAAAATAGTATTTTGAATATATGATGATTTAAGAAAATTATCTTATAATTGTCTTAAATTATTAAAAAAATAAATAAATATTTATATTTCTAATTGTGACATGATTGGTGGGACAGAGGTAGTTAATATTCTACGAATCTTTATCTTCTTGGTCTAGTTAAACTTCTCGAAAGTCATCATTAGTGCAGTACATTTATTATTGTACTGAGCTAAGACCAAAAGAGCAGTACAATTGGGTTTCTTTTGGGTCCATTAGACTAGGCGTAAAAATTAATTGGTTTAATAGGTCACTTTTAAATTTATTTTGTATATTACCGTAAATGTAACGGTACATGGTAAATTTGTCATGTTAAAGATGAGTTTATTCAAATAATATCTTTTTATTTAAATTTTATCATATTAATAAAATATTTCATTTGAATAAAAAATTTGTCATGATTTTTAATAAAATATATTTTTATTAGAATTTATTATATTAACAATTTTGAATAAAAATTATATTTCATTTGAACTTATCGTCAATGTGATAAGTTTTAAGTCACTGTAATAAATGTCACAGGTCTTTAAAGGCTTAACTCTAAAATAAGTGTTTAAACTATCCTTTTTTGTCAAATAAGTACCTACAGTTTTTTGGCCCATCCGAGTGTCTATTGTTACAAACGTTATATTTTTAGGTGTCCAGATCGTCAAATGCTGTTAGTTTTTCCCTTTAAGTGACAAGTGTCAACACATGGTAATTTTAAAATTTTTATATAAAAATTTTAAATATAAAATTATATATTTTAAAAAAACATAAAATTTTAAATAACACCTAAACTTTGAAAACTTTCATTTCAACCCCTAAACCCACGTCGATCACCGCCCTTTACCGACGAAGAAGCTCCACCTGGCCTCCCATCTCCTCGACGACCATAACCCTTATGAAATCGTGATCGGTTGACGATTAGTCGACCACAAATCGACGTTTTAAATCTCACGAACCTTAAGAAAAAATCGTGATCCCACGCGATTTCGATGGTTAATTGGCGACAAATATGACGACATATAACTAGGATGATGTCAAGAACTACGTCGGCGGCGGTGGCCGGAGAAGGCACCGGCGATGGATTAAGGTTAGGATTTAGTATTTTGTGGTTGTTTTATAATATAAGAAAAGTTAGGAATTTTTTTTATAAACATATAATATTTTTAAATTTTTTTTATAAAAATAAATTTCAAAATTACCAGTTGTTGACATGTGGGACTTAACAGGAAAAACTAACGGCGTTGACGACCTGGGCATCTAAAAGGGTAACGTTTGTAACGTTAGGCATTTGGATGGACAAAAAAAATCGTAGGCACTTATTTGGCAAAAAAGACATAGTTTGGACACTTATTTGGGAATTAAACCATCTTTAAATAATTTGCTTTGTGCTGTGTTAGACTAAATAATTAGCCTTTTGCCGTTCAATTGTCCGAATGTGCAACAAATTTACATGACCCACCCGATTCTATTTGCCACCCTGTGTTCATAGCCAATTCTGACGTGGGACTAATCAAGTTGAATGATGGTAGGGATTACGGAACAGGGAACGAGTAAATATTAGATTAATTTATATTTAAATTATTGAATTTTAATTTATACTATTTTTTTAGTTTAATTAATTTATATCGTTTGATTCTGGTCTTCTTTATTGTACATCTAATTTAAAATTAGGATTCTTTCTATTCAAGGCAATTCAAAAAATATTTATACTAATATTATTAAATAATTATAATGGAAAAATTTAGAGTGCAATTCCTGGTTATTATATTATCATCAAATAAAATACAACTACAGTTTGAATAATTCTCTGTTGTAATTTATAAAAGATTAATTTTCTTTTAAGTTTACTTAAATAAAATGTTTGAAAATAAAACTAAAAATTATTTAAATTATTAATTAAACACACTAGGTAATGAATGATTTGTGAAAATATATTAGGTAGAACTATCAAGTTTGTTATAATTCTTTACTCTTTAGTATTGTTAATAAAAGTAATTTAATTTATCAATAATAAAAACTGAATAATATAATTAAATTAAATTAAAGATTTATAATCTAAATAAAAATTGAAATTAAATTCAATAATCTAAAGTACAAATTACCATTAAACGTTACCTAGTTCATATAGCTTTTGGCCTCGGATAATATTTTAACATATACTTTTATCTCGATTAAAAATTCTGTATCTAAAATATTATTTAGATAATGTATTTTTATTTAGATATTTAAATTATTTTGTAGTGAAAATATATACTTAAAAATATATCATTGCGCACACAGCGAGGAACCATGGCCGTTACAAGCAACCATGCAAATCAAGTTTCATAGAACCCAACCCACCTACATAAGATGTACATCACTTTAACATTTGAGCACACAGCGAGCAACCATGGCCGTTACAAGCAAATCCCTGGATAATAAACAAGCAACCAATGGCCGCACAAGAAAAGAGAGAGACGCCCCTCATTTACAGTTGCGAGGGTTGCAGGTGCAGTTGTCTCCACCACTTGCAGCCGTTCTCTGCCCCAACTCCCATCTCACGTCCCTCAAAAGTATCTGCACCAATTAAACAAGAAAAAATTAAAATCAGAAGTTTGCTTTTGCTTGTTTTGATCTTTGTTATACGTACGGTTTCTGGGGTGCCACGCCAAGAACGACAGTCTCAGTTGTGGATTTCTCCACAAAGCTCGTTTCCGTCATGCCTGGGTACATCTTGCATCTGTATAAACAAAATCAACCACGGTTTGAATGATGTAAAAGAGATGTTTTGAAACGAAAAACAAACTAATTGAATTACCCTCCACAGCCAGAGCCGCACTTGCAACCGGATCCGCAGCCACAGTTTCCTCCGCAGCAAGACATCTTCACTGATTGAAGAGATTTAGATTCAAATAAGATGCTAGGAAGAAGAAGCAAAACTCGAGTCGAGTGAGGGCCTTCGAATTTATAGACCCAAGGGACGACGGAGCTTGAATTACAACCGTTCACGTGTCATGATTTTACATCATTCTTATCCGACGAGTAACGTTTCAATTCGACGCTTACCTGTTCTTTTTCAAGCTATCTTTCTGTTTCAAGATTATGTGCCTAAAAATATTTTTTTAATAAAGTCTTGAAATAGGACTGTAAGTTCAAAAATTTTATGGCAAAAAGTCACTTAAGGTCCTCGAATTAAAAAAAAAAATTTGGCCATAACCGTTTTTTTCATTCAATGTAACTCTCGAACTATAAAAAAAATTTAATGTGGCCATTTGACCAACAGAAACCATCGTTGACCAACGAAACCGTTATGTGCGACTGACGTGGCACATGTAGTTGCCCAGCTCACTCATTTACTGCTAAGTGGACGCTGATTGTGGAAGTGCTGAGGGGGAAAACAATTAATAAAATGATTGGAAACATAAACTAAAAGAGAAAATAACTTCAGTGACCGAAAATGCTTTATAATATACGATTTTAATCAATTTTTTTTGGATTTGCGAAAATAACCAACAAAATCGCAACGCGATCTCAAATTCGCAACGCGAAATCCAAATTCGCAACGGGAATAGTTAAATCGCAACGATAATATGTAAATCGCAATGCGAATATGTAAATCGCAACGCAAAAGTCAAATTCACAACGCGAATAGGTAAATCGCAACGCGAATTTATTTTTCATAACACAAGTTTCCTTTTCGCAACAAGATCTACTAAATCGCAACATGAATTTTGAAATCGCAACAAGATTTTCGAATTCGCGACACGAATTTTAATTTCGCAACAGCTTTTATTTTCGCAACACAAATGTTTTGGGTATATAAACTACGCAGCAGCAGCAACTCATAACCTAAATCCCTAAATCGCAACTCATTCCATCTCCATCTATCACTCTCTCCGGCGACATCCGTTCTAATATCCAACGACATCCTTCCCCATCTCTAATTTTTTTATATAATTTTATTTCTATATAATTTTTCAATGATTTCCCTCCCAAATTATCAACTATCAACTTAATAAATGTATGTTTTTCTCGAAGTTAGTGATGATATCTAGTTTATAGCTCGTTTGTTTAGTAAACTAATTTACAATTTGTAGAATGAAATCACCTAATATTGATCATGTTTGGATAGATTTGTGTTTTGGAGGGTCATGAGAGAATGTTCATGGTGTTTTACAATATATGTCTTTACCCATGAATATTCAACTAAAACTGTCATTAAAAAAGTTAACTTATGAAACTCTTATGTTACGTGTTGCAAAGAAATTGAATTTAGAGCCTCTAAGTGGATTTAGGCTATCTTATCAGAGAAAATGTAAAGTTTATTTGTTAACCGACAATAAAGATGTTGAACAATTCATTGCTTACATTAGTGTTTCGCAAGATGATGTTACATTATATGTTGTTGAACCTAGAAGTAGTGAAGTTGGGTCACTAGCGGGTAGTAATCAACTAAGTGCTTCAACCCCACTTTATGGTGCTCACAATGTACAACGTTGTTAACAACCTCAAAATTTAATGGTTTTACCACAATTTCATCACCAAGAAAATTTTGTTTCACCACATTTCCAATACCAAACACAATCTCAAAACCCACAACCTTTCCCTAATCCAAATCTCAATAAACTTTCAGCACCAAATTTCGATTTTCGTATTGACCAGTTAGACGATGATGAGCCAATAGAAAAAATTGTGAGTACTAGTCAGTATTCGAAATTTGATCTTGGACAATACCCGGACTTTGATCTTGGTCAATACTCGGATTTTGATGATGTTTCAGAAGAAGAAACAAACCCTGTGTGTAATGATTTTGATATTGGTCAATACCCAAATTTTGATGATAAAACAGTCGCTGCCACCGAAGATGTTGTTTATGATAATGAGGAGGAAGTTACGACTGTGAATGAACATGTTGAACATCCATTCTGTAATTCATATAACCCTGAAAAAGAAAAAGAAGAAGAAGTCCCCGGAGAAAAGAAAAAGAAGAAAATGCCACGGGAGTATAACTGGAATATGCCAGAATTACTTCAGATACCGGAAGAAGAGTTGGTAAAGATAGCAGTTGATTGTTACACAAAAACTGTATGTGGCGTATGATTGTAAAGAGGATAAAAGATTGCGAAATGTTTCAAGTTAGGACTTTTATTGATAAACATACATATTCAAGAACCCAAGTTTTTCCTCACCATAGACAGGCAAACAAAAAGGTGTTGGGTGGTTTTCTGGCTGAATTAATGTTTTTGAATGGCAGGGTATATCGAGGACACGAAAATATGAATGACATGAATTCTCGGTTCAAGATTAGTATCTCATATTCTCAAGCTTGGAGAGCCAAATGTTATGCCTTGGAATTGTTGAGGGGGTCGCCAGAAGCATCGTTTGCCCAATTGTCGGCTTATTGTCACAATTTAAAGCTGAAAAATCCCAGGTCGGTAACTCATATCAAAACAGATAGAGATAGACGCTTTGAGTTGCTGTTTATCGCCATTGGTGCTGCGGTTAGTAAATCAATATAATTTTGTTGACTCATTTTTTTAGTTACATGCATTTCACGTTTAAATGATTATATTTCTTGTGTATATTATTTTGTAGATTCGTTCGTTTATTACTTGCATGCGCCCAATTATTATAGTTGACGGAGCACATTTGAAAGGTCGATACCTTGGAGTAAACTTATTAGCAGTAGCCATGGATGCTAACAATGGGATACTGCCAATAGCTTACGGGGTTGGCAAATCTGAAACCTCTGATTCATGGACATGATTTATGGGGCATCTTAGGGATTGTATAGGTTCTATTAGCAATCTGACAATCATATCCGATAGGGCAAACTCAATTGACAACGCTGTTAGAAGGTGTTTCCCATATGCTTTTCATGAACTTTGTGGTGTTCATTTATACATAAATCTAAAATCAAGGTATGCTGGTATAAAAAATCACAAATGGACATACTGAAAGGCTGTAAAAGCTTATCGGGAAGTGGATTTTAATAAGCATATAAATTGTTTAAGACGTTTTTTGCCTCAATGTGCTCAAACACTAGAAGATATCGGGTTTGAAAGATGGTCAAGAGTACATCAACTTGGAGCAAGGTATGGTTTCATGACGTCTAATAGTGCAGAATCAATCAATGATCTAAGTCGTCATTCCCGAAAATTACCCATTACTATGTTAATGTAGTTTTTTCGAGCCTCTATTCAACAGTGGTACTACAAGAAAAGAAACCATGCATGTATTATTTCTTTAAATTCGTAACTTATCATATTTAATTTAAATATTTTACTAAGTATTATTTATTTAAATTTACAGGAACATTGGAATGTCGTGTTACACCACGGACTGAAAAAAAGATAATGAAACGTGTTGTGAAGTTAACGTCATGGAGAGTTAAACCATGTTCAAACACTTTGTTTGAAGTATTGTATAATAACTTAAATGGGCTTGTCGATCAAAATGCAAAGACTTGTAGTTGTATGAAATGGCAAACATCTGGTTATCCGTGTGGCCATGTTATAAAAGTTGCTCTTCATCTAAACCAAGATGATTCAAGCGCATACGATATGGATTGCTACACTACAGAAGTATATCGACAGACTTATGTCGAGATTGTCTACCCTATTCCACATCCTTCTAAGTGGGACATACCAGATGACTTACAAACAGTTTTGCCACCAGTCATGGACAGCAAGCTACCTGGCCGACCAAAAAATCACGATCGTATACCGTCTAAGGGTGAAGAGAAGAGGATATCAACATGTAGTCGGTGCAAGGAAAGTGGTCATACAAGGTTGACCTGTGGATCACCAGTGCCATCACAATTATCTTTTCCTCTAGCAAAATATGGATCATCATCAAAATCCAAAGCTCATATGGTGCTAAGCAAAAGGAAATCAAAATCTCAATCACAATCGACTTCACCTTTTGGGACTTATTAACTTAGGTGATTTTTAAATGCAAACGTTGTATTATGTGTATTTTATGTGTGAATGCATACATTTTCAGTTAGACATGCATTAGTAACTTGAGATTGAACATTGCTATGATCTGTTCAGTTGTTATTACTTATCAGATTGTTGTCTGTTATATTTTTGAAGGTGTTTTCCTTGAATTCGCAACGCGAAAGTTAAATTCACGAAGATGTTTAATTGATTTGTTGTTTAATTTCACTTTGCATTATGTTGAAGGCAAAAAATACCAGAAGGTACACTTTCGCAACGCGAAAATCAAAATCGCAATGCGAAAGACAAATTCGCAACGTGAAAGTCAAAATCGCAACGCGAAAGTCAAATTCGCAACGTGAAAGTCAAAATCGCAATGACTTTCGCGTTGCGAAAGTGTACCTTCTAGTCTTTTTTGCCTTCAACATAATGCAGAGTGAAATTAAACAACAAATCAATTAAACAAAAAAAAACAATTCTTATTTACACTTATCAGATTGTTATCTTCTATCTTTTTTTAAAGGTGTTTTCCTTGAATTCACAACGTGAAAATCAAATTCGCGTTGCGATTGTTGCGAAAGTCAAAATCGCAACGCGAATTTGACTTTCGCGTTGCGAAAGTGTACCTTCTTGTCTTTTTTGCATTCAACATAATGCAGAGTGAAATTAAACAACAAATCAATTAAACTAATCAACTTTTACAAATCAATTAAACAAGCAAAAAATAAGAATTATTTACACATCAATTAAACAAATCAACTTTTACAAATCAATTAAACAAGCAAAAAAAGTGTACCCCAGACAGTTGTTTATGCACAAATACATCAATTTCACACAGCTCACTTCAGGATCAGGATTAACCTGCAGAAACCAAACATTTGCTCAAACAACACTTTCTACACATCTAAAACCAACAAACAACAAATTATTGAATTCTAGGTACTTAACCAAACATTTTCAAACCAACAACGAGAATATATTTTAACAAC